AGAGACCCGATCCAACCCCAAGATTTCATTTATTAGATATGAAGTCTTGGGGAAGTCACATTACTTTGCTGAGATTCAATTTCCTCATCTGTAAAATGGAGATGCTTGCTTCACTTCTGCATTGTTGTAAAGAGTAAGGTGTTTGTAAAATCCAGTGACTGGCACATTAGACAGTACACATTTCATAGAGATAGCTATTACAGTCATTCCAGATTATAATCACTTGCTAAACAATCAGAGGCTCAGAGAGCAATAAGACAAGTGGATACAGAGCTTGTCATCATGCTAGGATAGCCTCATTGGGGCTCCCCAATATGACCATCAACCAGATCCTCAAAATCAAGGACCTGGGTTTCTCTCCCGCTGGGCAGTACGGGGGAAAGCAGTTTATGTTGGCCTCTTTCATTTGTACTCCTTCACTGCTGACCACCAACTGAAAACCTCTGAACAGAAGCGTTCTTTCTCCTGATAGAATATAACACTACTACTAGGCTATTTTCTTAATTACAATCGCAATTTAGTCATGCCCTACACTGAGATTCGAACCTGATTAGATTTTAAGTGTTTATCACTTGGGTCACTTCTGAAGATGGCTAACTTTACATTTCCTAAACTCCAATTTGGGAAAATGTCCATGAATTAAGGAGAATGTGTAAAAGGGTGAAACAGGAACCAGTCTCTCTCCACCTCCACACTCAGGCCCTGGCCTTAGTATCATTCTGATAAATACAAATACAGAGTTTGGAATTCTAACCATAAAGGGTTTGTGTTGGGGGGCGGGGGAGGGGTGGCAGGGCAAACCAAGGATACTAGTGAATTAAGCACCCATTATACGTCGTCTGCTTGAATAGTAATACATCAAATTTTCACACCAACACCCCCCAACACTGCCAATGTATACAGCCCCCACAGTAACAAAATCTTACTAATTTCATGAAGTCATTTCTATCAATCCATGAACAAAAGAAAAGAACAAACTTAAGTTATTCGTCCAGAATCACTGGAAAGAGGAGCCCAACTGTTTACAAAAAGCTAAGCTGCTTTTTCCCTAAGTCTGAAAATTTACTGTACACAATTCTAGTAAAGATACCCCAGTAGCAGGCATACCCGAAGGAACTGCTTCAGATGTTCCACTGCCTGTTCCATCTAAAATACCCATAAGAAGAAACAGTTCACCATTAACAGTCTGAATCAGGAAGAACTCCCTAAGCACAGCTTAGCCCTGCTGCTTACCCGCTTAGCAGAACAGCACAAGAAAACGCGAAGCACTTGAAATAGAGGAAAAGGGAAAGGGTTGAAAGCGACCAAAAGTTTTCTCTTTCTTAGATACTGATTTTTAAGAAACAAAAAACTCAAAATGAATGTCCGACTCTCCCTCTTCGCTAACCAAGAGATTCAGATAGAAAAACCAGCTTCAGGAAAGAAACCTTAACGTAGTCACATTAGCCTAACTTGAACTAAGTATGGTAGACAGGGAGGTGTCAAGCATCAGCATGTTTACTAGATTACTGGGGCATCTCTTCGGTTTTTGGGTCGCCTAGCAAAAATGTACCTGCCAGGTTGTTTCCCTCTTCCTCAATTATCTGTAAATCACCCATTCTCACTTTGAAATCTAAGATCCCGTTTCTCTTTTCCTCCTTTGAACAAAATAATAAATATACATAGTCTTTGGAATTTTCATGTATATGTGAATTCGCCATGCACATGTATTAAAATAATAATTTGACTTTCTCCTGTTCATCTGTTAATTTGAGTATTAGCCCACCTACAACTTAGAAGATGGGAGGAAAAGTATTTCTTTTAGGCCCCCACATGGTTTTTAATGCATTCTTTTCCT